GACCAGCTTCAATAAATTTGTAAATGGGGAAACACGAACTATGTTAAAATACTGAAAACTCCAGGAACTAGGACTGTCACAAAATATGGGAGAAAATTTTTAAAAATGTCATCATGATCTCTTCATGTTTAGAGTTAAAAAGAAATATTGTTTGGTATTCTATTTAAATACGGACTTGAAAACAAATGTCTCACCTTTTTGAATGTGTAAAAAGTTGTATAGCCCATAAATACTATTAGTTTGGCATTCTATTAATACGACATCCTTAAAACGTTTAGTGATAATATAAGAGTAGAGAAAAGTTGGAATGCTTTGTGTGTTATGGAGTTAAGCACATGGTAACGTAGAGTTCATTGCCAAACATGGATTTGTGTTCTTTAATAGTTTGGCCAAAAACCCGAAGATCAGGAAATCAAATTAATGTGGCCTTAAATTACCTTACAAGCTATATTTATTCCAAGAATGACTACAACTTTAAGAAATCATAGCGCATATTCCGCCATATCAGAAACAAACTGATTCAAGAAATCATAAATACTTGGTATATGAAAAATATGCAGCATACATATGCATGGAAGCTTTTGTAGAGAAAAAATATTGAAGGTAACGAAGAACATTTTTGTACTTGCATAATTATCATATACTTAGTACTTTTCTATCAAATGAAAACAAAAATTAGCCCAGGCGTTCATAATTGTCATGCATTTTTCTGAAGCACAAAATATTTGTTTGATTATCTATTAAAGTCTTTGTAATTAAACCAGTTTCAACCGTGATGATCTACATATTATGCTTTCTGAGGACCAATATACATATATATATATATAATATATATTTGTGTTTTTTTTCAGTCCTTCAAATACTTCGCAAGACTATACGCGCCATTTAGTTAAGGCTAATGAAAACAATAAACACAAGTAACAATAAACACAAGGAACAATAAACACAAGGAACAATAAACACAAGTAACAATAAACAAAAGTAACAATAAACAATAGTAACAATAAACAATAGACACAAGTAACAATAAACAATAGTAACAATAAACAGAAGGACCACTATAAACAATAGTAACAATAAACTGGTAACTATTCTAGATCCTTGACCATCCACCCTGTTTAAAGAAACGTCCTAAAATACATGGGTATTTAATCAAAATATTTGAATTTAATTTTTAAAATCATATAAAATATCAGTGTAAAACAGAACAAAAATGAATTCAATTGAAAAATATGAACGGCTATTTTAACCGGGCTACATTTCACTCCAAAATTAAACTATATGTATTTCTATTGAAATATAAGGAAAAGGGCAAAATAAAAACTCATATCCACCAATCAAAGTATCAACTGTTAAATCCAATAATACAGTTAAGTAACTGATGGAAAATTTTGTTCATTTCTCGCAGAAATTTAGTATAAACGTTCAGTTTATAGCACCCCCCCCCCCCCCCCCATTTCCCTTTTACATAATTTGTGGACCCATCCCCGAATATAAACAACAGGGACCTCAAAACTGACAGCGATCTTATGATAAATGAGGTCTGTATAAGGCACAGGGGAAGGGGTGGTGTCACTTCTGGCGTGCTGCTGAAATTAAAAAAAAATATCCCCTTTCATATATTTCCGAAGACCAAAAATCTGATCCATGTTATAACTTATATATTTATATAGGAAGTAACCCACAGCCACCCCCGTGGTATAGGGAATATTGAGATAGGGGAGGTTAACTTGCCCTTTTTATTGATTTAAAAGTCGATTGGATATATGCAATATTTGAGGCAAAACATATGGCATATTGAAATGTGGTATACGGGACTTTCATTTGAAAGGATTGCACTTTTGGGATATTGGATAATGCTAATACCCCCCCCCCCCCCCCTTTTTCCCAACTTCCAAAAAAAAACCTAAACGCGAAAACAACATTGAAACTTTGAAGGAATTTAAATTATCTATTTACCACAATAACTGACTCGACATCTGCTTCATTTTCCATATCTTTAACAGGTACATGCATATATTAAAAGGTTATGCATATTGTTGACAGTTACAAATCGAGATATATATACATGTAAGTAAATTTGTCCTCAATATTAACCTGTAAGTTGCTTCATTATTTTTTATTTTGCGCGTTAATGTCATCGTTTAACTGGACATTGCCGTTTTTACACACAAAATACCATTGACAAGCTGGAAGACACATTTATTATTTTTCAGTTACTATTATCCCATAAAGAAATTACGATTATCAAACAAGAAAAATGCCATCGAATTACGATTATCATCTCAAATTTTTCGACGGCAATTTTCTAAGCGCTTAGACAATTATAGTGCACCGTTACGATTCAAATATGATGTAATGGTATAGAAAAACCTTGCAGCTGAGTAACTCTTGACAACAACGGGCTACATTTGAGAAAAATGACTGAAAAGATTTTACCCATTTCTGCCGTCGCCATATTGGGATCGTCGTAATTCCAGTTACGATTATCAGTTTAACACCAGTGATCTTGTCGAGGTCATGATTTTTTATGATTAAAGTATAATGAACTGTAACAAACTGAAGAACGAAAACTTAATGTATTTTTTGAAATAGGATTTAACAAAATATAAAAATAAGAAGATGTGGTATGAATGCCAATGAAACAACTCTCCACAAAAGACCAAATGACATAGAAATTAACAACTATACGTATGTTAAGGGACAACATCAAAAGATCAATGTAGGTTAAAAATAAACTTAACATATTTTGGGGGTGGGGACCATTTTATTTTCCAGTTATAGAAAACATATCAAAGAAGTTCGGTCCTAAATGTGTTTGAACCTTTCTTGGACATAAAACGTATTAGTTCGTAAATTTTTTGTTGCAAAGTGTATCATGGTATCTACGTCATTGAAACCATGATTAATTGGGAATGAAACATAAAACAAATCAACACAGATTTGTCTCGATTAATGTAGCAACATTCCAGCAGCGCCTGCATACGGAGTATATATCTCCCAATTGATACGATATTCCCGGGCTTGTATTTCCTATCATGATTTCCTTGATAAAGGATTGCTGCTCACAAGGAAGCTATTAAACCAAGAGTTCCAAATGGTGAAGTTGAAATCATCCCTTCGTAAATTTTACGGACGCCATCACGAGTTGGTTGACCGTTATGGAATAACTGTTTCACAGATGATATCGGATATGTTCCTTGTGTCGTAACTACAATACACTTCCCTTTTCACGAATGTAACCTACCGAATTAGACTATTTACCGGATTTGTAATAACATAAGCAACACGACGGTTGACACATGTGGAGCAAGATCTGCTTACCCTTTCGGAGCACCTGAGATCACTCCCAGTTTTTGGTGGGGTTCTTGTTGCTTAGTCTTTAGTTTTCTATGTTGTGTCATCTTTACTATTATTTGTCTGTTTGTCTTTTAATTTTTGGCCATGGCGTTGTCAGTTTGTTTTCGATCTATGAGTTTGACTGTCCCTCTGGTATCTTTCATCCCTCTTTTTTAATGAAAACACGTATTAGTTAACAAATTTTAAACTCTTATAGAATTTATGGAGGCGGATGAAAATTAAAAATAATATTCTATATTTTTCAAATATAATTATAAAGGGGTGGGGGCCTAGGAAAACATGTGAATTATTTTATTTTTCCTACATGTGGTTTTCACTGTTGACCAGTTTTAAATTTTGTCATAGCCTTCTATACGACACGAGTTTGCTCGTTGTTGAAGGTTGAACCCTTTATGATGAATAAAAATCTTTTTTTTTTTAATTTTTCTTCCAAATGAAACATTTTTCAAAATGAAACATGCAGGTAATAGTGGTTTTATCCACTCTTTTTTGGCTATATAAAACCGATCACATGTTGATCATCTATGAAGTTGGGTATAAATACAATAAATATATACGGTACTATTGAGTAATCATGTTCTTTTTAATGGATTAACAATTCTATTTTAACATCTATCGTTTGCATGCAGTTTTAATCTCTCTTCAGGACGGTCAGAATGATCTGTCCTAGAACGGGTCTAGAACTGAACCGTTCCTTTTTACACCTGTTTTATCTGATCTAAGGTAGAACTGTTCAAACCCGTCAGAATCTGTTCTAGTGTATAGCTGTAGGGTAGCACATTCAGAATCTGTTCTAGTGTATAGCTGTAGGGTAGAACATTCAGAATATGTGTTCTATTGTATAGCTGTAGGGTAGAACATTCAGAATCTGTTCTAGTGTATAGCTGTAGGGTAGAACATTCAGAATCTGTTCTAGTGTATAGCTGTAGGGTAGAACATTCAGAATATGTTCTAGTGTATAGCTGTAGGGTAGAACATTCAGAATCTGTTCTAGTGTGTAGCTGTAGGGTAGAACATTCAAATTCTGTTCCAGTGTATGGTTGTGGGGTAGATCATTCAGAATCTGTTCCAGTGTATAGCTGTAGGGTAGCACATTCAGAATCTGTTCTAGTGTATAGCTGTAGGGTAGAACATTCAGAATCTGTTCTAGTGTATAGCTGTAGGGTAGAACATTCAGAATCTGTTCTAGTGTATAGCTGTAGGGTAGAACATTCAGAATCTGTTCTAGTGTATAGCTGTAGGATAGAACATTCAGAATCTTTTCTAGTGTATAGCTGCAGGGTAGAACATTCGGAATATGTTCTAGTATAAACATTCAGAATCTGCATAGCAAAAACAATACTAAACTTTCTCTGCTTTTTTTTTTTGCTAATGTTTTTGTTGTCTATTACTTTTAATGTGACCTGCATAACAGTAGCCTAGGTTTGGAAATAGAACATCATCAGGTAATTCCGCTTTTCTTTGCAGTAGCAGTAGATGTAGTTATTTCTTTTTTCTTTATCTTTATTCTGATAAACCTTTGATAAGTATACAGGAGTTGCACGAAATATTGAAAATAAATAATAATGAAAAAACTAAAAAACAAAAATGTAAGGAGGAAATTCATTACATTAAACTTATTTCTTTTGGTTTATTTATAGGTGGCCATGTTGTTATTGCAATGAGAGATGAATGGGAAGCTCCTGGATACTCTAATTCAATAAAAACACTTATGGCACAACTGGAAGATGCTGGAAAGTGGTTGAAAACTCACGAAGAACAATATAATCATTATTTTGATAAAGCTGGTGTAGTTTATGTATTTCAAGTAGCATGAGGAATATTCATCCATACATGAAATTCAATAAAAAGCATGTTTCATTATGAGTTTCTTTTTCAACATACATATATTTTAACGTATGTTTTAAAGAACGTAAACATAGCTCCGAACAAGTGTATAAGAATTATTGCTTCATATGGTATCAGTAAATAAAAAAATCTAGCTTTATGAAGAGACGAAGAGAATTACTTAACAAATCTAATACAAGGAACATTAGATATCGACACAGTGACACAGACAGAAGCACATTAAAACTTCATCCTCTGTATCCACCTAAAACGACAAAATCTGATCTGAAGTAATCATTAGAACTTATTCACAAATCAATATCAGTCAATATTACTTCAGGCTATTGTGTTTCATTTCCCAGAGAAATAGAACTCATAAACTCATCAAGCATATAAATTATTGCTGCAGAATGTACATCAACAGTGTTTTTTTTATTGAAAATGAGCAAGCATGGAAATATCCACATCAAAGTAAAATAACTGGTTTAATTCTATATCAGAGAGTTCTTCGTTTGAAATCTAGTCGATTTGACAATTTAAGGCTATTACTTTAGGTTCTTGCAAACCAATCATTTATCTGAGGTCAAAATACAAAATGAAAATGTCTACTCTAGTTGTTTTCTGATTACTCGTAAAGTTAGGTAGCTATCTCACATCTGCTTTTGTTTCTATTCAATTATTCTATATGACGGCTTACAAGCAAAAAACGGCGCGTGCAGCAAAAGTTATGTACTTTTGATTTTTTTTATTCAAACAGATAATATCAATGTCATCTTATTGCAATATGATTTACAACGATCGGAGAAAAAATAGTTGAGATTTTTAATTTTGATTACACACAAAAGTAGTTCTAACGTAAACAAATCAGTATACCGTTGGTTTCGAATATTTTGAAGTCGATTTGTGTTTGCTTGAATGTACTAGTTTACTTTTCTTCTGATGCTTGGCAAAATTCAGCCTGATATTTCTTCCCAAAAAATGGACGTACTTGTGAATAAAGATATACTAAAGATATTTCTGTATCGCACGTGAAAGTCCGTCTGCAGGAATAACTTCAGGGCGAGCCAACGGATCGAACTGGTCAAAGGGACGGCACAAATTTGTTATCTCTTTTTCAACTCCATTGCCTTCTTTTACAATAACGATGCCAGGTTTATCATGACGAAAGATGAAATGATGGTTACTTTTTAATACTTGGAACAGGTTTATACAAAGCAGCCATTTTCTCCATTGCCGGTTAGTTTCATTGATTTCTTGTGCAAAATGTATGACCTCGTTTGTTGATGACGACTTTCGGAATACATCCGGTAAATGAGATACTGTATCACAGTTTGATCATCGGAATAATTTTTTAGCTTGACACCAAATAGTTTGTGTGACCAGGAACTGCATCATTTGTCTTATCTCTTTATGTTGTCCAGTTAACACACATCATACAAGATAGTCAGTCATATGCCGATTACTATGCCGATTCTCCTGAAAGAAATATGAAAACAAAGATTGAAAAACTATCAATTGATGAATATCAAAAAATCAATTATGCTTTGTTTACATAATACAAGGCATAGTAATTAAACAATCAAATGCAGAAACTTTTTACCGGTTTTTAAAGTTAAGCATTTATTATTGCTTTTGTTTTTCTTCGTATTTTGTCTGCATACATGTACCAAGGTAACTATTAATTAAATTTGCAAATAATATGTGTTGTCAAAATATACACCAAGTAACGCTTCATGTTTGATATTTTGAGTTATTTGCTTCTTTTCTTGAATACGCATGATATATTGCCACTTGACGTTAAGTAAACATGATATATTGGCCACTGGACGTTAAGTAAACACACATTAGTTTATCAGTTCCTGTTCTCAAATATAATATAACAAAAGTAAAGAAAAACAGTGACTTGCACAATTGAATTTAGCCGCTAAATTCTTTGTTCCATTTTTTTAGAAATAGTTTTGCAGTCTATTTGTTTCTGATTATTATAATATATAAAAACGCTAAAATGAGCATTACGTGGGATTGTATTTACATAAAGAATGAGTACCAGTTTATTTTGGAACGTATTTGATATAAATACATTTGTATGAAGTATATATAAAACCTGATTATTAGAGAAATCCATCAATATTTGTACTTATACAATCGTTTAGTAACTGTTATATGTTCATAATATAAAAGTAATTAATGATAATGGTAAATAATTTCATTTTGAATGTAACACGTCTTCTAATTGGCTGAAAGTTTTTTGTCGATCAGCTCATATACATAATTTTGTCATGTGACCGGGACGTCATCAACGTTTTTTTCATTATTACTCCTTACAAATGGAATTTAGAATTAAATTGTAAGGAATGACTGTAATATTTTTTCTGTCTATTCGAATTAACTTAAAAAGTCTGGTGCACACATTCAAATAACGCGGGTTATTCAGTGTGCACCACGCTTTTGATGTTATTTCTTTATAGACAGAACAAATATTACAGTAATTCCTATTTATACATTCTTAACTCTTTAATGTATATATCATTCTCCAAATTTGAAATTAATTAATTTCATGCTACAGGATAAGAATCATTATCATGCTCCAAGATTGTATTAAATTGTATAAATTGTATCAGAGACATGTGTATATATGTCTCTGATTGTATTGATAGATTACTAAATTGAATTATGTAATGCCTACTATAATATTTATCCTACTGTTACCTATAAGCTGTAGTGTTTTGGAATAAAGAATATAACTGTCATCCCTACAAAGATGACTACACCTTTATGTGATTAACTTTTTTTTGTACCTTTGGTGACCCCGATACGGACTTTGGTAGTATAAAACGGACTCGATGATTAGGCTATTACACACATTAGAGAAGCATTCCAATTAGCCAAGGCAAAATGGCAGATAGTTTTATTCTCAGTAACGGACAAATAATTCCAGGAATTGGATTTGGTACATCAAGAGTAAGTCAATTAACGGTATTTTAACATTTTGAAAAAAAAATCTTGAAAAGGTAGACAAAAAGATATTTTATTTTATATTTCATAATTCAATTTGCATGTTTGTCCTTTTGATAAGAACCTAAATAAATGTAAATAAGTAAAACAAACAAAATACATATACAATATATGTACATTGTCAGAAAATATATAATTTATTTTTACGACCTTTAGAAACAGGACGAAAAGTGAGGATCGCCGAGCTTTTTTCCTGTTTCGTAGCGAGGATCAATTTTATATTGCCGAAAATGTACATATATTGTTTTATCCTGCAATTTACAACCGGCACTTGAAGCTTTAGTTGTTAAAATTCAAATAGTAGTCTCTGATTTTTCAAAGAAATCGAAATATAGTTTAAACTCGGACCGCGAAGAGGACCCAATGATAAACTGTTTCACAAATAGAAATATTCATATTACCGCTTGCTCAACATGGAAGCGAGATAACAGGAGACTGTTAATTAATTGTACAATAGTTGACTCCTTGCAGGATAGATAAAATATAAAATTAAGATGAACCAACATTGTAATTTGAAAAAATAACTTTCTACCGTAGACTTTATTGAAAGATTACAATAAACAATAAATAATTGATCTTATGCTTCTTTTTTTATGGTCTTATTGTAAACCACTCGTTCATTATTGGGTCATCTGGTCAGTATGTCTCATATAAATGCCCACACATTAAGACGTACGACTTGAACACAAATAAAAACGTTGAACAGCGATAATAATTGATGTCTATGACTGTCATGTAAGCATTAAAAATCGTTTAACAATCTGTGATATACCATCTGTATTAAATGATAGCAAATGAATAAAACTGTAAATTGAATATTGCACCATACATATATGACAGTTGTTTTAGTTATGTTGAATGATTTTATAATGTCAGTACAAAATTCAAATCATTAAATGTATTGTTAAATGTATCTGGAACTTGAATTTTAATGTACATAATTATGCAGTTATAAATGTTGCGTAGTCTCTTTTTTATTATTATTATTAATTGTGCAAAAGTGAAGCACACTATCTAAGACAAAAAGGAAAATTTCTTTCATACTTACGATATAATTGAAATTAAGTAAATGTCTGTTTTATGATTTCTAGATAACTTTGATATAAAGTTGAGCAACAGTCTATATTTTTGAATATCTCTGACATGAAAAAGTTGGTATATTTGTAGGACTCTGAACCGCGATGGTACTCCAAACCACGATGGTCACGCTGAAATGCGATGGTTGGACGCTGAAGTGCGCTTTTGGTCACGTTGAAATACGATGGTGGCATTGCACATGACGCTATCTTGTTTTAAAATAGCTACGCCGAAGTGCGATGATGGTAACGCTGAAGTGAGATGGACTAAATAAACTATATTTTCAATGCTTTTCATGTCTATGTAAAAGGCAGTTTGTTTGCTTTAGGTCGACGTTACATTGTGTTACTGTAGAAGCAGTTTTCGTGTTTTTAAGTTAATAAAGGGCTTATAAACTACTGGAAACGGAGAGTGATTGATAGAGTTAACCTTCTGTAGCAGTTTTTTTTTTCGAAAACTACAAAAGGTTCTAGTTTACGTACGATGGATCGTAGCATTAATCTCTAAATACATACCGATACGGGTTCGTAAACAGACTCTCTGTATTATATTATTACTGCAAACGAGGAACTAATGAGAGGAACCAGGTAAACATAAAATGTTAAAGCAGAATTATGTTCACATGCAGAAAATCAAAGAGGACGATCTCTCATTTAATATTCAACTGTAACTAAGGACATACATAGACAATAATGAATATTTTATATACTAACTATAAAACAATTAAATAATTCTGTAGATTTTAAACAAGCAACCACGCGTCATATAGACCATCGCACATCAGCGAACGGACCATCGCACTTCGGCGCAGACCATCGCACTTCAGCGTGACCATCGCACTTCAGCGTCCCCATCGCACCTCCGAGTCCTACATATTTACATGTAATAATTGTAATTTATATCTGATTCGTTTTCTAATTTTAGATATCTCAGGCTGACATGCGTGATGTAATATTTGATGCATTAGAAAGTGGCTACAGACATTTCGACACCGCTCATGCATACAGAACAGAGAGTGCGTTGGGCGAGGCCTTACAAGATGCGATTATCTACAACAAAATTTCTAGATCAGAACTATATGTTACTACAAAGGTTAATATAAAGTTGTTTTTTTAAGTTGTGTTGTTGGGTTGCTGTTTCATTGACATATCTTTTTAAGGTCAAAGAACATTTATTGCCTATCATGATTCGCCTGTCCGGTACGTTTTATCAAAATTTAGAGCATGAAAATTAAAAATCGAAAATTTGAAAATATGAAATGCAATAGGTAACAAAATAAGTAATTCAGCACGCCTTCGTCCAACCTAACTTTACAAGTAAATAATTTGTAATACGTAGTTATCGGAACTTACTACAAAGAGAACGAACTTGGGAACTAGGTAACGCCAAACCTTAAAGGTAAAACAACAAAAGCATTAATCACATCTACAAATAAAAAAAGAATGAAAAGGGTGGTTAGAAGAAATATACTATATCAGCAAGGTAGATATTTTGAGCTTGATTTTAGTAGTACTAAAAATTCTTCGATACGATAAATTAACCCCGAACACCACCCCATGTGCACGTGCATGTGCATGTGCTAAGTCAGGAATTTCGTCAGTTGTTGTCTTGTATGTGCTTTACTGATTCCTCTTTGTTTTAGTAATGTAGAGAATTTGGTATTGAAACAGATCTATTGTAGTCTGTTATTTACATCTTTTCTACACTTGGGATAATTCTTGAGATTACATATTGAATAGACATTTGTTTATTATTAAATACCAACTTGTGACCTCTAGAAGTCTTTAAGTTTGTTTGTGATTTTATTTTGCTGTCCACATCTCCCTTTATTCACATTCATTACTAAGTTTTCAGATAGTAGTATAATATATCCCAGTGCTTAAGAGATATTACCCTATATATATATTTTTAAAAGTTTTTTTGCGATCATGAGATGACCTCCAACCTTACTCCTTTCATATTTTTTGTCTCTAAATTTATATCAAAATTGTCATTTCTGTTCTAAGTATACGTCCTCGTCTATGGTGTTGTGCCACTTTTTTTTTGCCATTTAATTTATTCTGCTATGCAGATTTCATCAATTTTATTGTGCCCGTCCTGGATTTTATTGTACCCGTCGTGCTTTACAAACCAGTTTCAACAGATTTCTTTGTCTTATTTATTCTAAGACTTCCCATTTCCAATTGTATTTATTGTTCGTATTCCATCTGCTTACACTCTATCACTACTGCATATCACGTTCACCCTACGCAAAATGTTAAAATATTCACCTTTACGGATATTCATGTGTACCATAAACATATCTCGAATATTAATTTCAAGTACGAACGACAAATACGTGCGTAAAATGTCAATTTTGTGAATATAACACCATCAAAGTTTTTGACGTCTAGTAGCCGACCGTTTGGGACCTTCATGGGCGATCAGGATCGTTAAACACCCCCGCAGCACGTACAAAATGTTTTATTTTCTTATTTTCAACAGAAATGCGCATCTATGCAAAATTTGAAAAAGAAAACAGAATGTTTACAACCGGACGTGCTTTGTTCAAACATACAAAAATTAAGTTTGTCTTGCTCAGTATAAACGACTCATTCAATCTAAAGAATTTCAAGATTCGAATTTTCATAACCAATTTCGGCATCGATTTCTTAAATTTTACTAAATAAATCAACTCTTTATGTAACAAAAATGTATTTTGGGACAAATTATAATGAAATGACGTAGTCATATCTATTTATATAGAAATAAGGAGAGGTGTTATGATTGACGATGACAAAACTATCCACGAGAGACCAAAGGACGGGGAGGTAAAGACCTATACAAAAGAGGAAAACTCCATACCGCATAGTAGGCTATAAAAGGCCCCAGCATGATAATTGTGAAACAATTCAATAGAGAAAATTATGGCATACTCTACGCTAAAAAAACCGAAAAACTATTATAATATGGCAACAGAAACCAATGACTGCAAGGCCCCTGACATCATTCTTTAGTATACGTAGGAGTCATGAGGGATGCCAGGATATTCCCATAAAATAATAATGCTTAATTTGTACATAATATTTTTAGCTGCCTACATACCATATGAGGAAAGATCATGTAGTTTCTTCATTACGAGAAAGTCTTAAAAATTTGCGGATTGAATATATAGACCTATACCTTGTCCATGTACCTGCTTCTATAAAGGTAGGTGTTAAAATAAGGACAATATACAACTTATGTAGATTACATGTTCTATGATAATTATTGTACCTAAATAAATGTCATGATATAATGACAAGCATATATTTATAGTTGTATCATGTGCAGATATACTCAGTATGTGAATAATTGTATTGACATTTATTTTATGACTGTAATGACTTCGGTTTATAAAAAGGTTAAAGATCTCTGAAGGTTTTATCAGGTATCTTACATGTACATGCATATTTATTTTTTGTCTTATTTTACAGTTAGAATCAGAGTATATCCCTTATCCTAGCTGTTCAGCAGATGACTATGACTATCCTGACATCGTTGATACATGGCGGGTAAACATTATAATTAAATAGTTATGTTGAATTATTAATATTGCCCTTTGTTTGTTGTGTACGTGATTATTGCCTAAGCAGTGTACAGCGTGTTACTACTATTTGTAATATCAAATCCTTCTCGGTTACTGTTGTCTAATTTTCGAAATGACAAAGCCTGAGGAACATGATTACACTTATAAGTCAATTAGTCAATTAAAGGGAATAATTCTTTGCTAAATTAATAATATTTTTTTTCCAATTCCAAAATTAAATGTTCAAATAAGTCATTTTTCATAATATACACCATATATTGCTTTAAAAGATGAGCTCAGCAGCTGTGTGTATTTTAAAAGGGAATTTGAAAGATCACGGTGCATAGGCATCGGTACCGAAATTTATTGTTTGAGAAAAATATACATGATCAAGCTCTCCCGGTCTTTTTGTCATTAATTTCTCTTCAAGTTCTTAAAGAGTATCTGAAAAAAGAGGCAAAGGATACCAAAGGGACATTCAAACTCATAAGTCGAAAATAAACTGACAACGCCATGGCTAAAAAAGAAAAAGACAAACAGACAAACAACAGTACACAAAACATAACATAGAAAATCAGACTGAGCAACACGAACCCCACCAAAAATTTGGGTGATCTCAGGTGCTCTGGAATGGTAAGCAGATTCTGCTCCACATGTGGCACCCGTCGTGTTTCTAATGTTAGTACAAACCCGGTGAAAAGTCTAATTCGGTAGGCCACATTCGGGGAAAAGGGGACGGGATTGTAGTTACGACAATTGGAACATATCCGTTGTCGTCTATGAAACGGATACTCCTTAACGGTAAACTAACTCGTGATGGCGTCCGTAAAATTTACGAAGGGATGATTTCAACTTCAAACTTTACCACTTGAAACTCTTGGTTTAATAGCTTCCTTGTGAGCAGCAACCCTCTCTCAAGGAAATCATAATAGGAAATACAAGCCCGGGAATATCGTATCAACTACGAGATATAAACTCCGTATGCAGGCGCTGCTGGAATGTTGCTACATAGAAATGGAAAATTCACAATTGGGAAGCTGAAATCATCTCTTTTGTCGTAAAGTTTTGTTTTCAACCGACCATCATTGTCAATTTCTAGATGTAAGTCAAGATATGAGGCAGACTTAACTGTATCTGCTGTATCCTTTATGTCAAGTTCGATGGGATAGATGCGTTCAACATAGTCACCAAATGTTAAAATATTTAGTGAGCGAACATCATCTATATAGAGGAAAGTGAAGTTAAAGGATACTGCTAACTTCTTTTCTTTCTTCCTAAGAAGTTCCTGTATGAAGGTTATATATCACCCCTGTTTGTGTCTCTTTCAGGCGAACAATATAAGAATGTTCAATGCTATATCAGACATTTCAGTTTAAAACGGCATTGACTACACTACAGATTAGAACCGACCGTTTATTGTCGAGCCTGCGACTTTTGTCGCAGAAAGCTCGACATAGGGATAGTGATCCGGCGGCGGCGGCGGCGGCGGCGGCGTTAACTAAGTTCTTAAAAGCTTTATATTTTAGAAGCTGGAAGACTAGGGTGCTTCATACTTTGTATATAGATGCCTTATGTTATGAAGTTTCCGTCTGTTATATGTCCATGGTCCTTGACCTCATTTTCATGGTTCAGTGACTACTTGAAAAAAAAGTTCAGATTTTTTGTAATGTTTATTTCTCTCTCATTATGAGTAATAGGATAACTATATTTAGTATATGCGTACCTTGCAAGGTCCTCATGCCTGTCAGACAGTTTTCATCTTACCTCGACCTCATTTATGGATCAGTTAACAAGGTTAAGTTTTCGTGGTCAAGTCCATATATCTTAGATACTATAAGCAATAGGTCTACTATATTTGGTTTATGGAATATTTGTAAGGTGTACATGTCCATCTGACAGGTGTCATTTGTCTATGACCTCATTTTCATGGTTCAGTGGTGAAAGTTAAGTTTTTGTGTTTTGGTCTTTTTTTTTCTAATACTATATGCAATAGGTCAACTATATTTGGTGTATGGAAATATTTTACGATGTACATGTCAGTCTGGTAGATTTTATTTGAACTTGACCTCATTTTCACGGTTCATTGTTCACTGTAACGTTTTTGTGTTTTGGTCTGTTTTTCTTAAACTATAAGCAATAGGTTAACTATATTTGGTGTATGGAATGTTTGTAAGGTGTATATGTCTGTCTGGTAGGTATCATCTGACCTTGACCTCATTTTCATGGTTCATTGGTCAATGTTAAGTTTTCATGGTTAAGTTTGTTTCTTAGATACTATAAGCAATAGGTCAACTATATTTGGTGTATGGAATGTGTGTAAGGTGTATATGTCTGTCTGGTAGGTATCATCTGACCTTGACCTCATTTTCATGGTTCATTGGTCAATGTTAAGTTTTCATGGTTAAGTTTGTTTCTTAGATACTTTAAGCAATAGGTCAACTAAATTTGGTGTATGGAATGATTGTAAGGTGTACATGTATTTCCGATTTAGTTTATCTGACCTAGACCTCATTTTCTTGGATAGTGTTAAGTTTATGTGATGCTTGTAGTAAAGCTTTATATTTAGGACTATCAACATAAAATTAATGGTCAGTAAAGCAGGCGAGACATTTCAGCGTGTGCACTCTTGTACAAAGTAATTAATGTGCAATGCATGTATTAAATTTAAGCCGTTTCATTGTGCAGGAAATGGAGAAACTGGTTGATGCAGGATTAGCAAGAGCTATTGGGCTTTCGAATTTTAACGCTTCTCAAGTGGAAAGGATTGATAATAATGCCAGAATAAAACCTGTTGTCAACCAAGTAAGTCTGCCTTCATTTGCCAATTAAATCTTTATATTACAAGTTCCTATCGATGAAGCCGCCACACAATAAAGCAAAACTAAGTGCAGATCTGCGCCGTATTAATATCAAACCTAATCCCGCATACAGTTGTGTCCACTCATTTGAAGATGGGTTCATTATTGTTTCGAGTGCACTTTCCACAATGAAGCAAGAGATATATTGTTATCAAAATTTGAACGATATATTATATCAGTTAAGCTTCTATAAGCTGGTGACGGAGACCATGCATATTGGCTAAATACCGCAAATTTTAATTTTGTACAATAACTAATCAGAAGAACGCAAAGATTCAAAACAAATATGTATCTATAACACTTGAATTCGCACTCACTTATTCCACTCCAGTCCACATTTATCTTATATTTCATATTGAATTGGTTTTGTTTCTCGTATTTTGTAACTTTTATTCGTCTTTATTAAGTTTTGTGATTATATTTGTATTGGGAAAGGCTATCTCTGATGTTGTTATAAGTTTGTGTCCGATCCCTATTGCTATTCTTGCAAATTCAATATATCTAAACCAAACTAAAGCAATTTGAAAGTTCTTCTTGTATTTTATATTATAACTCACATTATGTGTCCAACTCCCTAAACCAAGGAAGAAATGCAATAGTATCAATGTTTTTCCCAAGTGTTTACCATGTTAGCATTCCTGCAGTAGAAGTAAAACCGGCTGGAATAATGTGATTGCTTGTAATACCAAAGGAACTGTGATTGTTTTTTCATTGATTCACTTAACTTTAGCAGAATATTTGAATAGTTTGCAGTCTCATACCTTACTAAATATCTAATATATTAATGTAGTCAAGTGGTTTTCCTGGGTTTTTACACACAAAAAAAAAACTTCTAAGGTATAGCATTCGTTTTATTACGATATGAAAATAGTTGGTAACAAAAAGACCCTGTAATGAAATATAAAATTATAAACAACGGTTCAAGAAAAATAGCATGATTACAATGAGAACTCAATGAATTTCCAATTAAAATAAATTATACAAGTTCTGAACCTTTTCTCTTATTTCATTATTCTAACAAAATATCATAATGTAATCCAATTGAATTAAATCGCTTATTGATTTTACAAACTATTCAATGATGTAACAATGTCTTGAAAATACAATTACATGCAAAAATAGATTCTACACGAAAAAATCTAAATAGATAATGTTAAGCAAAAGCAAAGCAATTAAAAAGATAAGCATAAGCAAACAAAATGATAAGCATTGAGATTTCCCTCCACACATATACATGTGATTTAAATGACCAATGAGAATGGACAAAGTGACCAATACTGACCATCAATACAATGAATAGACATTTAAAAGGTTCACATGCCAGAACTCAGGTCATCACCTTAATTAGCATATAAAGAAAAACAAAACAGCATGCTTCATTCTTTTATTATTGAAATAAGATACTATTCTGTAATTAAGTAAGCAGATCCAATAACTATGTTCCAATGGATGTTTTATTATCAAAACAGTAATTTCATACAGATCAAAGTACAATCCTGAAAGTTAAAAATATATACATACAAACCATTGAAATTTCACCCTTCCACATCAACATAAAATTTCTTGATTGTTTTCTTTTTTTAATTTTCCTTCGGGTGTAATAACTTTTTGCAAGTAATAAAGTAAATGTGTTTTATTTTTCTATCATGTTTTTTTACTAGATTGAATGTCATGCATACCTACAACAAAATAAACTAGTTGATTTTTGCAAACGTCGGAATATATCCGTGACAGCTTACGCCCCATTAGGTTCCCCAGGATTACAAATCAGGTAAGAGATAAACAGTACTAAAAACCTTCTTCAAAATATAAACACCTTTAAGAATCAAAAGTTGGAAAGTCATAGATTCATGAATTTAAGGGGAGCAACATGTATAGAAATGAAAATTCATTTTTTCAACAATCATGGATCCTTGTGGGTTTGAAATTTCGTACATTGATTACAATAAAATAAGAAAAAATAGCATTATAACACAATGAACGGTCAGTGCATGCACATATAATCTAATCACATTGACAACAAGAGGCGGAAGATACCAAGTGGACATTTAAGATAACAAAGGAACACGCAAGATGAATTTACTGTTGAATATATTGCATTACTTCTGGTGAAAGATGAAGCTGTCTTTGATAGCATGTTTAACCATTTTTCTGCACTTTCGTGTTGTAAACATGATTTTAATAATATAATCTATGCAAAATTACAAACTTTCCTTTGTAAATAACCATGGTGTTATCGCATACACGAACAACACTTTTAAAGTAAAACATGTGCACTTAACGCGATTTCCTCATCGAAATTTCATTTGAAACCAAATTTGTGTGTGTTTGGCTTCTTGTCAGTTAAAACGAGTACTCTTTATCTCCTCAGAAACAATGGAAAATATTGGGATTTGTTTGAAGAACCAGTAATTTCAAAGATTGCAAAGTGCCACCAACGTACCCCAGCCCAGGTAACATCATTATTTTATTTACAAAAGACAAACGAGTCGTACTACGTTGCATAATATCACCCCATAAACATCTCAGATTATAATTAAAGATAACTTAAATTATGGTGAATACATACTAAAAGAAAATTTCAAAATTTAAATTAATCTATTTAATTCAACTGAAGCAAATTAAACATTAGGTGATTGCTACAGTTAGGTCTCAGAGATTTTTCAAATATTCTGCAAGAAATACGCTTAATATCCAAAGCAGAAATCTTTAAAGTCGATATCGTACACCTTGTTTTAAAGAAAATGTGAAGTGGTTTTCCTCATAAGAATAACCTATTTATGTAATCTTTCAACTTTAGCAGTCATTTCATACAAGGTTTCCTCATAAGAATAACCTATTTATGTAATCTTTCAACTTTAGCAGTCATTTCATACAAGGCATCAAATTCTTCAGTTTTACTTGTGAAAATCAAGAAATAAATAATTTTTGTAGACTTGTTTATTTTTAAATCGTAATCATTCATGATCATCGTAGGGTTCTACCCTGTATACATGCTATTTGGTATTATAATTTTACTATATAAATTTATCAAAAATTAGTCGGTGCATGATAGACAACATATAAGGTACATATAATAAATGTTTCTAGACAAATTAAACAATTATATTTGTCAAGTATGTGCATGGAATATATGTGTTATCAGTAAAATTGTATATTTAGATATGTTTGCGCCATCTACTGCAGAGAGGACTTATACTCATTCCAAAGACAGAAAATAAAGATCGCATGCGGTTGAATTTGGAGGTAAGGTATAATAAAATGTTATATAAAAAAAGCTATCATAGAATTTGATTTAACTGTTTGAAGTTTTTTTTTTCGTTTCTTTTTTATTGTATTTGGGTTTTTTTGTTACTTGGATCAATTCAACTACTGGGAATATTTGATTATGAGCATAAACGCAGACGGCGGGCGGGTAAATTTTACGGCATATGTGTTTTCTTTCATCTGCATTAGAAATAGAATAAGAAACGTCGCCAGTATCAGTATGATCACTTTGCGACCATCATTCTGCAATCTTTATCCGCAAATTTTCAAACAACACTCTGTCGTCTCCAAAACACATTAAATTTGGCAATTAATGCTCATTTTGCACGTTTTTATTTTTATATACAAATTACCAGTGTTTATGACTGTACTTTTTGCGTCCTTGTACTATGTTACCTTTTTCAAGGTTTAGTCAATATTCGCAATATTCCAATTGTTTTGAAATAATAATGGTCAGTTACCAACCATCTGGGGCGTGACAAGAAAATGGACGTAAAAAAATACGTATACTAAAACTTATGTAGATTCGCACTTATTTCTTCATAGTTATACTTTTATATACTGCTGTAACTATTAGATATTTTGATGCATTATACGTATTAACTCCTCGTATATTTCTTACAGATTAAGAATTTCTCCTTAACGAAACAGGAAATGAGAAAATTATCAAAATTAGACAGTAACAAGCGAATATTTTCTTTTAATGGGTAAGTTGGTGCTATTTTGTTTATTACTGTTGATCTGTCAACTGACCAAAGCATTATTTTTGAATTTTCGTCTATAAAACTAAAAGGAAAATATTTTGTACTCATTTGTGTATCAAAATGAGGTAAAAAATATCACATCCTTCTTCAAAATACATGCATATGTAATTTTAATTATTTATTCACCAAGTTAAAAAAAAATAAACTGAGAAAAAACTCTCATCCAGATAATAACAATTTAACGACAATACTGATGTGTAGAATCAATGTAAATGAAATGAACACTTTATATGTGATGCGTTTTTTTCTAAATATACATTCACCAGGAACGCTATATCCCAAAAAAATGAAAGCTAAGGGTGCGTGAATTCTTGAAGTTGAATAATAGTCAATTCATTTAAGGTCAGCTTTCAAATTGCGACATTGGTTTCTCAATCATTTATAAATCTATTAAATGAAAACTTTTTATTTATATTTTGTAGAATGAAAGACCATCCAGAGTACCCATTCAGCGACCCTTTCTAACACTAAATCATTCAGAGTTATTATAGTATATGATTCTGTGCAGCTATTTTTTCTTGAATTATTACTTATCATTTTAAATATGGGTTTGTCATTACCATGAACACATATCTTATATGTATGTTGAAAATTTCAAAAAAAACTGTGCGAGTCATAGGAAAACGTCAATGACAAATTTACCGAAAATGATAGAAATCAAAAGACACCACAGTCTTCAGAAAATACATAAGTGTCTACACTAGCTCTTCATTGACCCCCAGTCCAGAAAAGTTGTAAATTTATTAAACAGAATTACAGCCATAAACGCCCAATTTCTTTACGGACAAAAAAGTTCTAAATATTGATAAAGTACAACCATGCACTGAGGTGGTTTCTGATTGGAAAAGCACATGAACATGGCGTTGTTAGACTTATTGATTGTTTTTTTCCACTTCATGAGCCTCCTTCTTTTAATATCGACCAGTGGAATAATAAAGAATACAAATGGGGGAGGGGGAACCGTCCCACGTCAGAAGATGTTGTGAAAGATTTCAATAGTTTCAACAGGAATTTTAATATCTTATTTCTAGATAAGCAAGAAGTCGCAAATAAAAAGTAACAACGAATGTTAGTGTCACTGATATTTGGTTGTCACGTAAATATGTGGCGAGGTTAATTCAGTTTTGTGAGTGCCCAATCCTGTAGTATTTAGGTTGGAAGAGAACGAAATAATAAGAGTTAAAAACAATAAATCGATAAAAGAAATCATGCGTCCTTCTTACTCCGTATCGTATAATGTCTGTGTTCTTCTGTGTACCTTAATTTGTATCTACAGCGGTTTATCAGAATAAAGTACATATATAATGCTTGGAATTCCCAAACCAAATAATCTTTATGTTTGTCAAAAAGTATAATGTCTGTGTTCTTCTGTGTACCTTAATTTGTATCTACAGCGGTTTATCAGAATAAATTATATATATAATGCTTGGAATTCCCAAACCAAATAATCTTTATGTTTGTCAAAAAGTATTTAGAAATCCAGGTTATTATACATTTTGTTGCATCAATTTATTGGAATTCCCAAGTATCAATTGACAAATAAAGAAAGTGTGTATGATTTGTGTTTGTACGTATCTTTATACCATCTTATTACTATATTTCTGTTTTGATTATATCTTTTATCTTTTGTATATTTGAAGAGGTTTGATCTTATTTGTTTCTTCACAGTAAAATCAATAAATATTGATCCCACGTGTAGGATTTACTTGTAGTCTAACAAAAAACACGAAAGCAGAACAAACTTCTGAAAATCATGAAGAATTTAATTTTCAGCAAGTCCATCCCATTTAAAAGAGTATAAAATATTAAACGATTGCCTGATGAATCTGTGAAATCTAGCTTAAATATGAAAAGGTCAACATTTATTGCAACAAAATGAGTAACAAAAATCATTACTTACGTAAATTTCGGCTCAGCAGCGGTAGATTGGACAGGATAAAGTCTTTACATAACCCAAAACATGGACGTGACTGAAAAAAATACCAGTGAAATAAGTTTTGTTTTAGATTTGTATTCACCTACTTTTATTAAGTCTCCCAAACGAAGTTTGGGAAGACTTATTGTTTTTGCTCAGTTCTTATTATTATTATTATTATTCTTCTTCTTCTTCTTCTTCTTCTTCTTCTTCTTCTTCTTCTTCTTCTTCTTCTTCTTCCGCCGCTTTTAAATTTGAACTTGTCCGCACCCGTTCTCCAAAACCGCTTGTCAGATTAACTTAGGGTTTCACAATATGTTAGACTAACATGTCTAGTGGTGCAATCAGGGTTTTGTTTGTGCAATGGGGTTTATAAAGGGGTACTTTGAGGGGCAAAAAGAAAAGAGGGTTTTACTATAGAACCCTATGGGATTTTATTTTTTAAAATTTTAAAATGATTATAAATTGAAAACCGTTTGTGATAGACACAATCTTTTTAATTGAAAATGTTCTAAATGATAAAGCCCATTAAATGAAATACAGGGTAAGTCCCCAGGGGTCACCCCCACCCCCTGCCATTTAAGAAAGTTCTAATATCTTCTAAGTGGTCAAGATCCCCACCCCTAAACCATATATATTCTGGTTTGTCATGCTAAGATGGTTTGAATGATATACAGGGTTAGTCCCCAGGGGTCATCCCGACCCCCTGCCATTTGAGAAAGTTCTAATATCTTGTAAATGGTCGAGATCCCCACCCCTAAACCATATATATTCTGGTTTGTCATGATAAAGCACATCAAATGAAATACAGGGTTAGTCCCCAGGGGTCACCCCCACCCCCTGCCATTTAAGAAAGTTCTAATATCTTGTAAGTGGTCAAGATCCCCACCCCTAAACCATATATATTCTGGTTTGTCATGCTAAGATGGTTTGAATGATATACAGGGTTAGTCCCCAGGGGTCATCCCGACCCCCTGCCATTTGAGAAAGTTCTAATATCTTGTAAATGGTCGAGATCCCCACCCCTAAACCATATATATTCTGGTTTGTCATGATAAAGCACATCAAATGTAATACAGGGTGAGTCCCCAGGGGTCACCCCCACCCCCTGCCATTTAAGAAAGTTCTAATATCTTCTAAGTGGTCAAGATCCCCACCCCTAAACCATATATATTCTGGTTTGTAATGCTAAGATGGTTTGAATGATAAACAGGGTTAGTCCCCAGGGGTCATCCCGACCCCCTGCCATTTGAGAAAGTTCTAATATCTTGTAAATGGTCGAGATCCCCACCCCTAAACCATATATATTCTGGTTTGTCATGATAAAGCACATCAAATGAAATACAGGGTTAGTCCCCAAGGGTCACCCCCACCCCCTGCCATTTAAGAAAGTTCTAATATCTTGTAAGTGGTCAAGATCCCCACCCCTAAACCATATATATTCTGGTTTGTCATGCTAAGATGGTTGGAATGATATACAGGGTTAGTCCCCAGGGGTCATCCCGACCCCCTGCCATTTGAGAAAGTTCTAATATCTTGTAAATGGTTGAGATCCCCACCCCTAAACCATATATATTCTGGTTTGTCATGATAAAGCACATCAAATGAAATACAGGGTTAGTCCCCAGGGGTCATCCCGATCCCCTGCCATTTGAGAAAGTTCTAATATCTTGTAAATGGTCGAGATCCCCACCCCTAAACCATATATATTCTGGTTTGTCATAATAAAGCACATCAAATGTTATACAGGGTTAGTCCCCAGGGGTCACCCCCACCCCCTGCCATTTAAGAAAGTTCAAATATCTTCTAAGTGGTCAAGATCCCCACCCCTAAACCATATATATTCTGGTTTGTCATGCTAAGATGGTTTGAATGATATACAGGGTTATTCCCCAGGGGTCATCCGTACCCCCTGCCATTTGAGAAAGTTCTAATATCTTGTAAATGGTTGAGATCCCCACCCCTAAACCATATATATTCCTGTTCGTCATGTAATGAACATTTGAATGACGTATAGGGCCAGTCCCCAGGGGTTCCTCCCCATCCCCAATGTTCTAGTATCTTGTAAATGGTCGAGATCCCCACCCCTAAACCATATATATTCTGGTTTGTCATGCCAAGATGATTTGAATGATATACAAGGTTAGTCCCCAGGCATCACTAATGCATATAACTTTACTGGACCAAACCAATTTTCACTGGACGTTGCCCAATGTCAGGCGACCCTGGGAATTACGAATTATGGGAGCTTCGTTTGGGAGACTTCGTAACAGCATCCTGTTACAATCATTTCTTGTTAATATATAATACTAATTGTTATAAGATAAAAACAAGATATGAATTATGAGGCTATTGGTTCAGGTAATTGTTTCTAAACTTTCATTGTGTGGCAGAAAAAGAGAACTTGTAGCCGTCTTTGTTTGTTCGTGAGTACACTTGCTGCTGGCCTAAAAATAACATCATGTGGGATTGCAATTTTGTTGTTGGTGATTTTAATGCAAGATACATAAATTTAATCTTCTAAGAGTGTGTTAATGGGAAAAAAAGATGTGGTTATTGGTATCATTGCCAATGAGACTACCCATCATAGATCAAATGACGTTGATGTTGGAAGCAACTATAGGCAACCGAAGTACCTTTAATAATTTGCAAAACCTATACAGTAAAGGAAATTATAAAAGTCCTCGACTAGAAAAAATGTAAAACAATACAACCAAGAAAACCACAGCCTGATTTAGGATAAAACAACAACAAAAACAAGTATGACAGATAGCAATCGACAACCACTAAATTAAAACAGATTCATGACTTAGGATAGGCACGTATATACAATATGGCGCGTTAACTAAACCATCATTGTTACCTGGGGCAGTGGTGTAACAGCACAACTTAAGAACAAACTGTAAACGTTGGAAAAGGCTTGACTCATTAGTTCGACACAGAGCACAACAATTAACTAGCAAAAAGACACAACATATCGATCCAAGAGTGCGGTTACTGAAAGCTATTTCAACGCCAATTGCAACTAATAAATAAGTCATGTTTTCCTGGACTAAATAATATCAAGCACTACACATCCAACATATAAAAGTGTACAGACGGCATACAAAGTCTGAGTAAAGCATGACCTTGTGCAATGCCAAAGTATAAGTACGATGTAGGGTCATAAGTGTTCATAAGTGTATAGCAATACATATTTAATTATGTTTTCATTTATTAACTATTTATTAATAACAAAATTTAATATTAGTACATAAGAAGACAATTTTCAAAATTGTTAAACTGATATGCTTTTAGAATGAGTTTATACAAGTCATCAATAAGACTACATGGATCGTATTTAAATTTAATGCTTTATAAACAGCATTGCCATAAAAACTTTAAAGATGTTGGGCATGTTAAAAAATATTAATGTTAAAGCACTTTCAATGTGAGAATGTTTAGAAAATACATATTTTGCTGCACGCCTTCTGACCTTTTTCTATTGAGTTGATGTTCTCATTTGTATATAAAGGATCCCAGACAGCGCAACAGCATTCAAGTATTTGTCTAGTAAGTGTTCGGTATGTACCATTGAGTTTATTTTAAGGTTCCTTCTGGTAAATGATAGAGTCTGGTTTTCTGTAGAATTCATTTCTGTTTTGAATGTTTATTTGTATGTGATCATGCAGGTTATAAGATAAATTAATACAGTCGAACCTCGTTGCCTCGAATTCGGTTGTGTCGAAAACCCGGATCAGTCGAGTTATTTTGTCAGATCCGACAGGATTCCTGTAGCTTCAATTGATTTCGAACTCGGATGATTCGAAATCTCGTTTAACGCGAATATATTTCGATGTCCCTTCGGTGTTTTCTTTTCTTGAAAGTGAAATTCACAAGTTATGGAAATTTGATGATGATAACAATGACAACGATGATGATGATTTTTTTGTATCTCTTTTTAAAACTTAAAAGTTATTGGACAATTTTAACGTTTTAGTCATAGGAAATAAGCCTTTCTCCAAAGCAGAGTTCTATATCTAAATTGGTATCACCCCAGTTTTGTTGGGGTTCGTGTTGCTCAGTCTTTAGTTTTCTATGTTGTGTTTTGTGTACTATTGTTTGTCTGTTGGCCTTTTTTTTTAGTCATGGCGTTGTCAGTTTATTTTCGATTTGTGAGTTTGAATGTCCCTTTGGTATCTTTCGCCTCTCTTTTACCTTCGGGAAGTTGAGATTATTAGACATGGTAGCTCTTTCTTTAAATGGAGGGACAGAAAAGAATTGGGTAATATCCTCAATATCCGACCAACATTGACATGTTGGATCAGATTTGATATTAACTCTAAATAAGTCAAAGTTCAAGAAAGACGCCGAACATCTAAATTGACATATTTTAAATCCTTGTACCTTATAAATAATGAAGAAGGTTCAGATTATGAGTGCCGTTTTTTATACGGATTTGAATTTGGATATCAAGTCGAACCCTGAACAGTTGGGGCAAGTATAGACACAACATTCAAGCTTGATATAGCTCTGAATTTGGATTATGATTGAATATTTGATACAACATAGGTTGACAAAGAATGAATTTGATCTAAGAACTTACAAATTTGAAATTGAACATTTACATATTATGGTCCAATATCCAAAATCTTAATACATGGTT